CTTACTGCCCCCGTTATCGCCTTTATAAAGGAATCCTTTAAGGGTAACCTAATCCTTATATACGCACCTAGCTTTACTACTAACTTTCTTCTTAGTAAGAAAGAGGTACTACTTTATACGTTCCTAGGGGCTTCCTTTTAAGCTAATATCCCCTAGTTTAAAGTTATTACCTACGGTATTCTAATAGTAGACCTAGATAAAGTTAATATTACTAAATTCATTACTAATAAGGTAGTAACCTTTAACTCTAGACTAAAGGTAATTAGGGAGCCCTACTAGCTTACCCCTAAGGAACGCTATATAACCTAAAAAGTAGGTTTAGTAGTTCTTACTTTCGCTACGGAGGTAGAGGCTAAAAGGGCTATCGTAAAGAGGCTAAACATTATAGGAATTAGTGTTAAAGTAGAAAAGATACATAATACGCCTACCTCTATATAGTATAAGAAATGCTAAACTTTTAGATATAACTCTATACGGTGTATAAAAGCTCCTAGGTGTAAATACTACGCGGAGGCCTACCTCTCTACCGCCTATAAATGCCCCTATTATATGATAAAGGGTAAGGCTTATCTCTATATAGCCCTCTAGTACGTTAATTACTATAGGAACTACTAGGCTATAGATAAATAATGCCCTATTACTACCTTAAAGCGTAAAGCATAATAGAGGACATTAAAATCCTATAAGTTAACCTTAATAAAAGCCTCCTACCTATAGAGACGGCCCTTTAACTTATAGTAGAGATAGGGGTCTACCTAATCCTTATATAAGAACCGTAGATAGTAGCGTAAGACGGAAGTCTATAATTAGTTAGCTACCTATCTTTCTACTAGATCCTCCCCTTATACGGGTAGAAACGCCCCTATACGCTAGTATACTAGTTAAGATTCATATAGGGAGTCTAGATTAACTTTCGTCTAGATATCCTCCCTAGTAAGGATACCCTTATGCTAGAGATAGAAGGACTAACCATATAAACTCGCCTTATTAACGTGTATAATGAAGCTAGGTAAACCTAAGCTAATAAAAACCTTCCTTATATAATAGAGAGGGTCCTAAAATATAATAAGGTAGAAACCCCCTCCCTCTTTATAGGGGATTTTAACGAACATTATCTATTCTAGGACCCCCTAGCCGTATAATTACTAGGGGCTAAGAAGCTAATAGACTAGATTAAAGATAATAACCTTAAGATTATAAATACCCTAGGGGAAGGCATATACTTCCGCTACGGTATAGCTAATAAGACTATTATAGATCTTATAGTAGCCTCCTTATCTATAGCTAACCTCGTACGAGACTAGTAAATAGTTAAGGTAGGCTTAGACTATAAGGGAATACTATTTACTCTTACTATTTAGTCCTAGCCTAGAGGCCCCGGATAAGCTCAGTATAACATAAAGGAAGCTAAATAGCTAGAATTTTAGGAACTATATCGGACGAGACTTACTATAGCTATATAGGCTATATAACCTAAGATTATAAATCTTCCCGCCTAAGCCCCTAATAAGGTCCTTACCTAGAAGAGTAATATCCTAATACTTAACTAAGTAGGGGAGGCACTTTAAATAGCTATTAGTAACTCTATAGCTATATATATCCCTACCTACGCTCCTAAATCTAGGGTAAAGCCCTAGTAGATAAGAGATCTATCTAACCTTCGTACGAACATAGTAAGGGCTAGATGTACGAAGAATAGGGAAGAGTATAAGGTAGCTTAGAATAAATATACTATAGCTCTAAAATTAGTAAAGTCTAACTACTAGGAATTCTTCCTTATAGAAGAAACACCCCGTACGATTTTCTAAGCTATAGTTTATACCTACCTATCTACCTCTAGTCTTATCCCATAAATTTAAGATATAAGAGGGACCTTATACTCTTCTTTCCCTAGTAAATGCTAAGCCCTCTAGGAGAAATTATTCCCCTTACCCCCTTAGGCTTAGTCGTACGACTAGGCATCCTATTAGCCGGACCTAGACTAGGAATAGCTATTACTTACTAAAGAAGAGCTAGCTAACGTATACTCCTCCTAGATAAAGGGTAAGTCCCCTAGCCCGGATATAATTACGTAAGAAATTATTATTAAAGTATATAAGGCTGCCCTAGAGTACCTCCTTTATATCTATTATATACTATTTAACTAGGGCTACTAACTACTTCTCTAGAGAGAGGTACGCGGAGTAATCCTATAAAAGCTAAGTAAACTAGACTACTCCTAACCTAAGGCGTATAGGGTTATCTCTCTTCTTAACTACCTAGGGAAGGTACTAGAGAGACTTTTCATAAAATAGCTTAGGGCACTTACTAAAATGACTAACCTACTCTACCCCTCCTAAATTAGGGGTAGGCTAAAGAAGTCCATAATAGATATAGCTCTCCTCCTAACTTATTAGGTCTAGGGAGCTAGATAGTAGAATAAGAAAGCATCTACCCTCTTTCTTAATATATAAGGGGTATTTAACCATGTAGCCTATAACTAACTCCTTACGGTTATAGCTAGACTTTAGCTTCTAGTACGCCTTCTATACTAGGTTAAATCCTTCCTATAGGATCGTACGACCTAGCTATTATTTAATAGCTAGATAGAGAACCTCACCCTAGTCTAAATAGGAATCCCCTAGGGAAGTCTAGTCTTACCTATCCTGTTTCTTATATATATATGAGAGATCTTTTAAATAGGGGCCGTTAGCCCTCTCTTATATATAGATAACATCTCCCTTACCGCTATCTCCTCCTTATAGAAACGTAACGTAACCCTCCTATAAAGAGCTACGTCGTACGTTTTTTAGAAAGGGAAAGAATGTATAGTAGACTTCGACCTTAATAAGATAGAGCTTATCTACTTCTCTACTAGGAAAATAGACCTAGTCCCGGTCTACCTACTAAATAGGGAAAAGATATAGCTAAAACCCCTCGTACGATAGCTAGGTATTCTATTTAATAAAGGTCTTACCTTTAAATAATACCTAGCTACCCGTATCGCGTAAGCTAAGGGGGCCTTCTCTAGGCTTACCTAGCTAGTAAATACGGAATGAGGCCTTTCTCCCTAAGCCGTACGATAAATCTACCTAGTATGTATGCTTAGTATAGTAGACTACGGCAGCTAAATCTACTAGAAGAACTAGGCTAGCTTTATAAGGAGCTACTAATCCCTATAGGGAGTAGCACTTTAAAGGATTCTTAGAGCCTTCTAGATAACCCCTACCTAGCTAATAGAGCTAGAAGTAGCTCTTCTCCCCCTAGCCCTACGCCTTAATAAGGAAATTAGGTCTTATGCCCTCTAGGTAAGGAAACTTATACTAGTACACCCTATCCGTAAAGCCCTTAAGTAAATCCCCGCTCTAATAGAAGGGGACCCTATATAAAAGTAGCTAACTTAGCTTAAGAGAGTAAAAGCTAGCATTATACATCTTAAGAGTAATAGCTAGGAGAGAATCACGCACTTCTACTTTCCTCTATAGAAGAGATCTCTCCCGTATAAGGTATATATTAGTACTAATTCTAAAGAGGAGGAGGCTATAGCCTATTAGTAGATAGTAAATGAAGCCCCCTCCTTAGATGTTTATATCTATATAGATGCTTTATACATCCCTAGTAGAAAAGGAATTAGTACGGCTTTTTACGCATAGAACCCATCTAGAGATATACTATATACTAGTAAGGGAGCTAACCTTAGCCTACTACTAATAGTATATAACGGGGAACTAGATGCTATTCCTACTACACTTAAGTAGGCTATCTCGTACGGCCTAAAGAATAACTATATTAAGGTCTTTATAGATAACTAAGCCGCCCTCTAGAGGCTTAAGGTCCCCTCTAATAACGCCGGCTAGGAATGCTAAATACGAATAGTTTAAGCTATAAACACCCTCGTATAAATAGAATGTAGGGTTTCCCTATACTAGGTACTAGGGCATACTAGTATCTATAGGAACGAATAAGCTAATTATATTATAAAGGAGGCCGTATTAGATACCTTACCCTCTAGGGATAGGACTAGCTTTACTTACGTCTAGTAATAGCTATAAGCATAGATATATATAGAATAGGTAACGTATATTACTAAAATAGCTAAGAAAGCTATCGTACGAAACCCTAATACCTACTATGCTAACCTATAGTAGAAGCCTAGAGGATACATTAAAATCCCCTATACGGAATAGTAATACGCCTTAGCCTTCTACTAACTAACTTTTAGGCATAGCTACTTTAAAGCCTACCTATACCGCTTTAGAAAGATAGATATACTATACTACCCCTACCGCGGCATCGTAATATAAAACCTAAAATACCTACTTCTTAGTTACCTAAGATATAGTAGTATATAAGAGAAGCTACTAGCTAGCCTCTTAATATAGCTAGCTAAGCTAGTATATAGGAGTAATCTCTTAATAGAGCTCCTCCTAAATACTTATCTAGGAATCTCCTATATAATAGAGTTCCTCTAGTTAATAAAGGTATCTACCTATAAGTAGTATCTTAGTCTTATATCTAAGGAGGCCTAAAACCCTTACTAACCCCCTACCTAAGAAGGCTATAAACCCTTACCTTAGTATACTTCCCTATATTTCCCTTCTATACGACCTATTTCTCTATTCTTACGCGTAGCTACCTACGGTTATACGAGTAAAATCCTTATATAATGGCTAACTATTCCCTAAAAACCTACCTATATACCCTATAGTAAATTATTATATAATAATAAACTAGATAGTCTAGGCACTCCTTACGTAGTTTCTTAGCTATTTATATATAGGGTAGCCCTGTTCTAAATAGCTAATTAGCTCTACTAGGACGTAAAATTAAATTAATTAATTAATTAATTAATTAATCCCTACTTACCTTATAAACGTATATAGTATCCCCTATAGATAGCTCCGTCTTAGGTAGCCTATAGCTCTAGTAAGACGTAAAATAATTAATCAATTAATTAATTATGAACTTCCTAGGTAAGCTATATATTCATAATTAGTTTCGTATTATTACATAATCCACACGGTGATGTGGTGTAGGGGTAGCATGTGTCGTTGTGGAGTATCCACAACACCAAGCCGAGCTTGGTTGTTAACCTATGGATGTTCACGAAACCGACCCGACCTGGGTTCGATTCCCAGCATCGCCAGCTTGATGCTTCCGCGCGCAGCGTGGATCACAACACGTTCTTTTTTGCTCTTTTTGCCCTTCACGGGAGAAGAGGATGTGACGGACGGCTAGACGTGTGAGAGGTCAGGTTCGCTGGCTTGACGTTAGTGCAGTCTCTTTTGACTCCAATTGGAAACAGAGATTAGTTGCCAGTGGCGTTCAACACTTGATGTTGAGTGCTGCTGGCGCGTGATGCGCTGCGTTGCCCACACCATCCATCATAAAGACAACACAACAACCAACAGCATGCAAGCATTTTGACGTCAGCCTGCGTCAACAACAAGCAGCACCGCCGACGGAAGACAATATCACGTCGACATGAATGCAAAGTTTGGCTCGCGGTGCCAACCTTCTCCTCCAACACTCGTAGCAGGCAGATGGAGAGCGCTCCCAGTCTACGCGCGCTCTCCATCTGCCTGCTACCTACGTACATTTCTCATGTGTGCCACGACCTTTTGTCACCAAGCTTCGCAAGACAAAGGAGAAGACGTCGAGGATTTGCCAATTGATACAGGCATTTGACATGATTATGTGGATGATTTGGCTATGCACAGGGCAAAAAAACAGACGATTGGACACACCAACCAACGCTCAACCAAAGACGACGAGACACCACTGATCAGTATACTGATCCACAGTCTCCCCTGACGTTCGACTGAACAAACGCTGGCAGAAAGCGAAGCGGAAAACATGGATATTAGCCAGCCTCGTCCACAACTTTCCTCCTCGCCATACTCCTCCAACCCTCCTCAAACCATCTACTACTTCTTTCCCTTCATCTTCTCCTCGACCCACTCCCTCACCTCCGCCACGCCAGGCGGTCCCTCGCCAGCCGCCTTCCTCCGCTGGATCTCGGCCTTGACCTCATCAATGGCATCCTGCATCTCCCTCTCCGGATCGTCGGGCAAGCCGAGATATGTCTCCTGCCTAGTGATGCCACCAAAGCTCTCGGTGCTGGTGTTGCGGCTGAGGCCCGGCTTGGCGCCCAGTGCCTCGCCGAGAATCTTCTCCTCGAGCAGGTCGTCGACCGTGAACGATGCCGGCATCGTCTTGCGCTGCTTTAGCTTCTCAGGAGAGAGGGCAGCACCGGCGCCGGAAGCGGTGGCACGTTCGGGTGCTTTGGCGCCAACGCCGGGACCGGCAGACTGGCCCTTTGCGGCACGTTGCTTGAGCTTCTTTTGCAGAATTGCTTTGCCGGGGCTGTTGAGGAAGCCAAAGCTGGCGGCCACGCCGACAATGGTGTAGAAGTAGACGCGCTTCCAGACGAGGAAGGAGTCGGAAAAGCTGAGAAGAATGAATGGCATGACGGTGTAGGAAAAGGAGAGCTGCGTAACGAGCCAGGTGAAGATGTCGTAGTAGATTTTGTTGGGTAGCGGGCGTTGGCCGTCGGGGGTGAGGAAAAAGGGACGGAGGAGACGACGTCCATCTGCAATCACGTTAATATGTGGACTTGTCAAGAGAATTGGTGGGAACTTGCGCTTTGCGATGGTTTGGAGGAAGCTTGCAAGGACAAAGGCCATGTAGTATCCAGGATAAAAGCCATGCCAAAAGGCCGAAGTCACAAATGTCGCCAGGGTTGCGCGGAAACCAGGCTTCTTCCCCTTAGGAGTGACGCGCAGATACATGTAGTTTTTGAGCCAGAGGTTGGTGTTGACGTTCCAATTACCCAAGTACGCATGGGTGTTTTGGGCCAGCTCGATTCCAAGAGGCTTGACGTTCTGGAGCCTATTCCAGTTGACGCGGCCAGTCTTGGGGTCAACTCCCTTGTACCCAATACCACTGAGTATGCATGATCCCTCGGTCAACAACCAGACTCCATAATACTTCATGCGAGTAGTCATGCCTAGCATGTGGAGCTGGAAGACGCGCTTGAGGAAGTTGTGTTTCATGTACTCTTCGCTAAGGAGCATTTCAGGGTAGTACCACGCCGAAAACTTGAGGAAAGAAAAGATCCAGATGAGTCCATAAATCGCCTTCCACGTAGCCGGCGTACCACTACGAGGAATCTTGCGATGCTTGCGGGTTGGAGGTGCATGTGTCGGATCAACCCCCGGAGGCAATTTGAACATGCTCGTGGTCAGCCACTGGCGGTAGTCGATGTAATCAAAAGCAGGGCCTGCGAAGAGTGACGGGAAGAAGAGCACGTATCCGGTATAGTCCATGAGGGACGGGAATTCGCGTATGGCACGCTCCTTTTGGTAGTCTGAGAGTTCGCTCTCAGGCAGCCGACCATCATGGACGTTCCAGCAAAAAGCAGTGAGCTTCATGACCAGGACCATTTGTGCTCCGGTAATGTCGACCGTCTGTGGCGCATTTCGGAATTGTCTGTCGAGGTGGTTGACTGACATGTGACCCATGAGGAAGACGAAGCCGATCCAAGGCATAAATGGGCCATCGATGTATTTTGCAATGGCGTATGCTCCTGCAGAACTAATGAAGAGCGTCCGCAGACCCGTCCAAAGGTCGAACAGGCCGACAAGGTAAAAGAGCGCGACCCTTTGCAACTCAGCACATGTCTCTCACACTTGCAGGTCTGGGAAAGACGCACGTTATTATAAAGAGATTCTTTTGCCATGGTTTCGAATCAGGTATGCGCTTGAGGACACCGGCAAGCGGATAGGAGAGTAGAAAAGATGCGATGAGCTTGACTGCAAGATTTAGCAGACACGCTCAGATTTGCAAGGGGTGGAGGGGCGTACGCTCGTCGGTGGAAGCTCCCAGCACGTTTGCAACGTACTCGAAAGCTAGGCCAGAGCAGTTAGTAGCTTTTCCGGCTAAGGGCGAAGCTTTGGAAGCTGTGCGTACGGAGGTTGATGTAGGGCAGCATGGTGGGGGTGGTGCAGCTGCTGAGGTTGTCAAAGAGGCTCAAGATTCACCGCATCCTGTGAGGTTTAAGAGAAAGAGAACCGGCGTGGTGAGAGTTTACTTCGTGTCCCACACGGCCAGTGACGTCCTCGCGCCGGGGCACGCACGGACATGGGCGGTGAATATTGTGACCGCGTTTCTTCGGAGAGTAACCGGTGTCGGCGGCCATGTTTATTCCCCGCCAAAGCCCTCCACGCTTTCGACTTCCTGCCTGTCCACACGCCGTCGCGCCCTCAACGCCAACCATCCAGTCCTACCGCGGGTCACCTCTCTCCACTCCTCGGACCAAGACCACCAGCGTCGACGCTCCGGCCCCGCGCCCGCCGCCCTCGCTGTCGCCATGTCTTCAGTCTACAACTTAGAGCCCCAACCTACGGCCAAGGTCATTTTGCACACCACCGCCGGAGACCTTGCCCTGGAGCTCTTCGCAAAACAGACCCCCGTCACGTCGCGTAACTTTCTACAGCTCTGTCTCGACGGCTACTATGACAACACCATATTCCACCGCCTGGTCCCGGGCTTTATTATTCAGGGTGGTGATCCGACGGGCACTGGCTCCGGCGGCGAGAGCAGCTACGATGGCGAGCCCTTTGCAGACGAGTTCCACTCCCGCCTCAAGTTCAACAGGCGAGGTCTCTTGGGTATGGCGAACACGGGCCAAAAGGACGACAATGGAAGCCAGTTCTTCTTGACTTTGGGGCCAACGCCGGATCTTACTGGCAAGAACACCATGTTTGGGCGCATCGAGGGCGACACCATCTACAATTTGATGAAGATGGGCGAGGCCGACCTGACTGAGGAAGAGGGCAGTGAAAGGCCGCTGTATCCCACCAAGATTACAAGCACAGAAATTGTGGTAAATTTCTTCGATGACATGGTAAAGCGGGTGCAGATTGCACAACCAGTGGCGCAGGAGAAGAAAGGTCCGAAGAAGACCAAGAGGAAGGCAGCCAAGCAGCTGCTCAGCTTTGGCGGCGACGAGGGGGATGACGCAGGCTTTGCGCCTGTGGCCAAGAAGCCCAAGTTCAACCCCAAGCTCGTCAGTGCAGAGGACGACACCAAAGTCTTTGCAGAGAAGGGAAATGCAAAGGCACCTGAACCAAAGCCCCCCAAACCAGCTCGAAAACCAAGCCCAGCGCCCGACGTGCCATCTGAAGAATCTACACGTAAAACACAAAAACAATCTCCCTCGCCCCCACCAAAGCCATCCGCGCCTGTCCAACCTCCGCGCCGCTCGTCCCGCTCCCCGTCCAGCTCAGACTCCGATTCCGAAGATGAACCTGCCCCAAGAGTGAACTCTGCCCTGGAGCGCACAAACGCTGAGATTGCGGCGCTCAAGGCAAGCATGAAACGCACAACTAATGCCCCCAAAGAAGCCCCCAAGAAAAAGTCTGCGTTGGAAGCCATGATTCCCGAGACGGCGACAAGGGGGCGCAAGCGGCGAGGTGGAGGAGCCAGTGACCCACGCGCAGACCAGCAAGCTTTGGACATTCTGAGTGCCTTTAGGAGCAAGCTTGCGAGCGCGCCGGAGAATTCAGCGCCTGAGCGAGACCAAAAGAAAGAAGAAGCACCTGATAAGAAACACAATTTGAGTGGCGACGTGGACGAGGACCCGGAGGCGACTTTGTGCGACTTGCACTTTATACCCAACTGCCAGTCGTGCAAGGCGTGGGATGACCCTGGTGCAGCGCAGGAAAATGAAGATGCCAACGACGTGGGATGGATGAACCACGCGCTAAGCTTTGAAAAGGATCGCCTTGGAAAGGACTTGGAATGGAAGAGGAAGAACGAAGAGGAGCTGGTCGTGATTGACCCAAGAGAAAAGGCAAAGGAGATTGTGGGAGAGAAGAAGGGTAGGAGAGACGGAGAGAGAGATAGGAGACATGGAGACAGAGAGAAAAGGGGTGACAGAGAAAAAGGTGGGCGACCCGAAAGGGAACGCGGCCGGCATGACAACTGGCGGAGCGATGGGAGAGATAGGGAGAATCGGCGCGAGAGAATCATGAGGAACCTGTAGGGCGGATAATGGTATGAAAACGACTGCCAACTCTTCCAAACCAACCAACAGTTCAAACATCGATGACAATATCGGTGATTGTCTGGTATCGAGGTCTA